CCTGTTTCTTTTTATAGTGATAGTGAGACTCCACAGCTACATCCTTAATAGTTTCAGTATTAAAGTTATTATTGTTTACGTCAGCTATCGTTCATAATGAAGTTAAGTTTATTTTTGAAATAGGTATTTAAAAAGTGTCGTTTGCAATAAAGTATTATCGCACACTAATTTGCATAAAGTCATGGTCTGTTCCGAATAAGTCGCTTTGGACTTAGAAAAAAACCCGCACTACTCATTTCTGCACTAATCTCTCCTCAGTAAAGTCCTTTTCTACGTTTCCTATCTCTCTATCAATGAGGCTGTAGTTAGGCCGAACTTAGTTCAACAGATATTTCACACTTTCACTTATTAACTACATAAATTGTAGATATAAATGCGAAAAAAGATTTTTTTCTATTTCCGACAGTACTTTAGTACTACAATCCAGCTCCAGGGGGAAATTATTGCAGGAATTTCATACACTGGTAACGGTCAGGACACAGTTACAATTTGTAGAAAAAAACTTTTTAAAGTTAAAACAAGATTAAATGCAGTGTGAGTATGCTTGATCAATCCTAATTGGCATAATATGAATTAATTTGTTTATTTGCATTTATATTTACATTATTTTGAACATTGATATTAGGACCGTCACCTCCGGACGGAGCAAATCTACCAATTTTGACCCAAAAATGTGGTTAAGTATAAATTTCAAAATGACAAGACTAATGATATACAACATTTACTGACTAGTAAACATCTTAGACAAGTGAGTTTGTTCAAAATTGCCTCGGTTCACCCAGCTGAAAATGGGTAGTCAGAGGGATAAGTCATGTGACTATTAACTTTCTAGTGCCTCACAGACTGCTTGAGTTATCCGAGGGTTATAATTAGAGCGCTTATATACAGTGCTACATTGGAAATAAGCGCTATACAAATGTGTAACATTATTAACATTTTATTATCATTATTATTGTAAGGAATGTTGCTGTCTTACAGATATACTGCACGGACCGGTTCCAGCAAGACCCGAATTAAAATGAAGATGCACCAGAAAATACTTTTCCCGCTCTATCTGATGATAATTTTGATGTTTCTGAACATTTCCCATATATTTCTTAGGACAGAAACACGTATTGCGACAACATGCCAACCAAATTTACCTGATATCAGCAGAGGGCACACTCATTTTCAAACTCAATACAGCCGTAAAGTGGACCATGCCTTATCAGAATCAGAAACCAGAAACATTTCGAACCCCATCAACGTGAAAGAGTCAACAGAAAGAACTGAATCTGGCTCTCATGTTCGGCCGCAGTCTTGCAACAGCTGTTTCAGACACGACTTCGTGTATCTCATACAGAATGAAAACATATGCAGCGAAGAAAACAAAGACGCAGTTGATCTTATTATACTCATCCTAACTAGCCACAACAATATGTACAAACGGAATGTCGTACGGACAACGTGGGTTTCAATCTCCAGGAACAATACTGGAAATGTTCGCTACGTCTTCTTACTAGGTGAAGTTCTTCAAAAGGACCTAATGGAGGCAGTTAATAAAGAAGCGATGTATTACGGGGACATGCTGATGGAGGACTTCAGAGATTCATATCACAACCTGACGTACAAAACAATGATGGGTTTGAAATGGGCCTCCTCATTTTGTGACAATGCCAAATTTGTCTTGAAAACAGATGATGACATGTGGGTGAATGTGCCCGAAATCTTACGACTGGTCAATCGGAATCAGCTATTTTTGCAATCAGGTGTACTGGGAAAATGTGGACGTGGACAAGTGATGAGGAACAAGAGATCAAAGGGGTACATCACTTACAACGAATATCCCTTGCCAGATTACCCACAATATTGTTCTGGGAGTGGCTACGTTACAAGCATGGCCGTTGCAAAACGCATATATAACATATCACGTCATGTGCCGTTCCTGAAGTTTGAAGACGTGTATTTTGGTGAGTGTGTTAAAGCACTCAAGACAGTGGGCTTCATGTACAATAAAGGATTTTTCTACACTGGCGACTTTAGGAAAAACCCATGTATTTTGAAATCAGAGTATGTTTTAACATGCCATCGTGTGCCATTACCAATGATACTGAAAGTAATGGAGGATGAATGTTAATTCCTATAAAAATAGAAGCTACCGTTGTCACTACATATGTTTTGTTTTATATCAATCCCCATCTATGAAAAATAACGAATTCTAAGAAATATACTACAATTCTAAAAAAAATGAACACAGCTTTTTCGTAACATGGTTATGTCTTGGGCCCTCTGGTTTAATATGTCTGCACTTATTTTGTACAGCTAGGCTACTATCACGACTTTCTTCAGACAGACTAATCATATACCAGCTTCCTGTTTGTCATTCGTAAATGGGTTTGTTCCCTACAAAAATTAAAGTTTTCATTTGAACCTGTATCTAGGATCCATATCCATATCAGCATGCTGATAATATACGTTGAAATGGCGTAGAAATCACATCCAACCGGTGGCCACCATTTTGGCGTCATTGAAAAATTCAATAAACCTCGTGTCTGTGCATCGAGTCCAGTCACTCGGCATTTTGTTTGGCTTTAACAAACAGCTGCTACATGCGCTGTTGTAACAGCTGAAGATGTCAATTTATCAAAACAGGAAATAAATGCTTACTACAATCCCCCGGAGTACTTAGTGTCATGGCGTTCCATTTTGGCGCAAAACAGTTGATTACGTAATGGTCTAGAAGCCAGAACCCCAAAATGGTGAAAATGACGTGCAGTTCTAGCGACCGAATGGGATGTGATTTTTCACAATCAGGAATGATTTAGCTTTAATTCAAAGCCGGTTGTCCATAAAAGTAGGCACTGAATCTTTTGTATTTAAAGCAATACGTTCCTGTCGTAATAGATTCAAATATTCCTTCGTGATAGCATGCCAACTGGGAATACACGATGACTATTAAAACCAATAGATTCATATGGAGGAAATGTATTATGATGACATGACTGACTTGATGAGCTTTTAGCAATATTCCAGCAACATCACGGCGGGGGGACACCAGAAATGGGCTTCACACATTGTACCCATGTGGGGATTCGAACCCGGGTCTATGGCGTGACGAGCCAACGCTTTAACCACTAGGCTACCCCACCGCCCCATACACTTAAGAGCTTTCTGTTATGTTGTGTGATTTTAATGAAAGTCCAACAGTATCTTCAACATATTTGGTATCGTTGTCACTGTGCAAAGCATGGAGCATGCCAAAACTACTATTTTCATGAAAATCGGTTAATCCAAACAAGAGTTATGAAATTAAACCATCCAGTTATCAGTTAAAATATATGATATGTTGCACCTTAAAAAGGGCCCTTGCATGGTAGTCCGGCACGGTAGTTGGTGACAACCGGTTTGAAATCAAGGCTAAATCATTCATGATTATGCAAAATCACATCCCATTCGGTCGCCAGAACGGCAACACCACATTTTCACCATTTTGGGGGTCTGGCTTCTGCACCATAAGAGCTAGACGTTCAAATGTTGTAGAATAGCAGATTGTTCAGACGAATAAAATAAAATTAGAAACCTATTATGGATGCAGAGACACAAGGGAAGCAGAGACTGACTTATGTTTTACAAGTTAGTTTTCGATGAGGATAAGTTGTACTATATTCTTTTACAAAACTATCATTGAATGACCGTATCATAACAACAACCTGTCTGAAACTGCCATAAAACTTGTTGTGGAAAATAAACAATATCTGAGTAACGATACAATGTCAAAAGCTAGGATCTGTCGCCAGCTGCAAAAGGAGGTTCACGACACTAGGAACGTTTCTTTTCTATATGTCTGGTTCCCCACCTTTTTCTTAGTCACTTGCCACCCTTGTGGAGGGCAACCCATGCTTGGCCTAAGCGGCGACTACTGGGATCGACTGGTCAGGCTCGCTGATTTGGTTGACACATGACATCGTGTTAAAACTCTGGTCAAGAGTCTATTATTAACAGACCGCCGACAGCAAGATTGAATATTGCTCAGTGAACAAATCTTGGGGAAGGGATTAATATCTGGTACAAATTTATTGTACCATGTACTAATACAATTCAGTTAAAACAAACCAGTACCATTTGTCAAAAAGCCCAATTTCTTTTGATGAATAAACAAATTATAAAATTGCAGGATATATTCTTAAAATGTCTTTGACTGACGATGCATTGAAATATTTATACCTTGTGATTGAAACTTCAAATCAATGAAACAGTATTGCTTGACCGTGATTCTCCTTCGGCATCAGGTCACGTGAGTCCCCGTGAGATTGCGCGTGAGGAATTGGGTCAGTGCGCTTATGGCTTTGGATCGGCCAGTTTGCTAATTACTGGTCAGCATTGCTTGTTCCGTTTCTTGGATTATTTGTGATTTGGTGACTTTCCTTTTATGCCTTTGGATTGATGTGGACACCTGGATTACTTCACCGATGGTAAACTTCAGGTTTGATTGTTGTTCCTCGAATTTTGAACTTTTTGAAACTGTAACCAACTGTTGACCCTGACCAAACAAAATGGCGACCTCGGGCAACGAAGGCGCTTCATGTACACTTCTAGAGAAAATGCAGATAGAATTTCTGGGTCGGTCAGATAAGGATGTGCCTGTAGATATCCCACTCTCAGTCAACAAGGGAGCCGATGGTTTTTCTCAGTGAGGATATAATCTCAGATGATAACAATGACAATGATAATATGAATAATGGTTCAAGCCCTGCACGGGAGAACCGAGAACAAAGACAAGTGACTCTCGAAGAGGGCACTGCCAGTGACAGAGAGATTCTCATGTCACTTCATACTATGCAAAAGAAATACATGGAAAAAGTTGAAGCGTGTGTGTCCTCGGTAAAAACATTACAAAATGAATGGGTGTCTTATCAGGAAGCATGGGACGGTGAACCGTACGAGGAGTATGCTAATTGTAGCATAGACGAGGACAGAAGTGCTGGTTTGCAAAATCAGGCGCTTACCGCGTGTCAGCGAGAGGTGGGGGGAGGGAGTGAGTGCCTCCCCTGCGATGACGTCACCTGTCATGGCGGCGCCCATGAAAGTTGGAACAAATACGTTGGAGAGCTCCTCTAAGTCTGTGATAGAGCAAATAGCAGACAAATTCAAGGTTGCCGAAAATTCCGGACCCCTTGTGGATAAGGGTGTGTCAGACCTTATTGATGGATTAGTAGCCACGCGGTTAGATGAGAAACAGAGGGCGGAACTGTTTGATAAACACCTCTGTCCTGCCAATGTGCAGAAACTTAAACCACCCAGGGTTAATACCGGTATTTGGCAGTCGATGGATTTAGAAGCAAGGCAACGGGATGCCAAATCCCAGAAACTACAGGAAATTTTCTTGCGTGGTTTAGTGCCCTTAATTTCGGCAGTTGACAAACTAAATGACATGTCAAACCGAAAGTCTTCTGATCATGAATTGGTCAACAAAGTATCCTCTGTCATGGGGGATATAGTGGATGGCGTGGCTCTCATTGCCTCTGGGAACTACGAACTCAGCATAAAAAGGAGAGATGCCATTCGACAAAACTTAAGAGCTGAATACAAACCGCTGTGTTCTCACAGCAATCCTGTCACAGAGTTTCTGTTCGGGGATGACTTATCAGACAAGATAAAGGACTTATCTGAAACCAACAAACTTGTTTCAAGACTTGCCTCCCCGGGGCGTCAGATGTCTGTGAGGGGGAGAGGCAGTGCCAGAGGAAGGGGCTGGCGAGGAAGGGGTAGAGCTACTTTTTTAGAGTACAACACAAGCAATTTCCACAGTCCAAACAGGTACAACCCCTATCCTCCCAAGTTCCAGAACCAGCAGGGAAACCGCGGGTCACCCCTGAGAGGAAGGAGACCACACCGGATGTAAAGCAAGTGAGTAGAGAGGATGCTCAGATTGCTGGTAGACTTAACAAGTATATTGATGAGTGGTCAAATATAACAAGTGATGAGTATATACTGAATATTGTCAGAGGATATAAGCTTGAGTTTGCTGAGAATCCCTTCCAAGCATCGGTCCGTGAGACTAAGCTTAATGAACATCAGGGTCAATATTTAGATATGGAAATACAGTCTCTGCTATCCAAGGGTGTTATTGAGACAGTTGATTACTCTACTGATGGATATATAAGCACGGTTTTTCTGGTGCCTAAGCCAAATGGGACTTATCGAGTGATCCTCAATCTGAAACAGTTGAACCATTCAATAGAGAAGATGCATTTTAAAATGGAACACCTTGTATCTGCTCTTCGTCTCATGACACCTGGCTGTTACATGGGCTCAATTGACTTAAAGGAAGCCTATTATTCAGTAAGTGTTGCTTCTGAAGACAGAAAGTATCTCAGATTTATTTGGAGAGGTGTTATGTACCAGTTCAAATGTTTACCATTTGGCTTAACATCAGCCCCCAGGATATTTACAAAACTTTTGAAACCTGTGTTCAGTGAGTTGCGACAGTTTGGATACCTATCAGTAGCTTACATTGATGATTCCTACCTTCAGGGTGACACAGAGGAATCGTGTTCAGAAAATCTTGAAATCACTAGACGTAAGCTGGAGAAACTAGGATTCTTGGTTAACTATGACAAATCTGTTTTGATACCATGTCAGGTTATTGTGTTTTTAGGATTCATTCTGGATTCTAGAAATATGACTATTTCTCTCCCAGAGAAAAAAGTTAAAAACTTCTTGGACAAGTATAAACACATTTGTAAGAATGATTGTATATGTATCCAAGAGTTGGCAGAAATAGTTGGAGTGATGGTATCTTATTCTATAGCTATGCCATTTGGACCACTATTTATCAAGCAGTTGGAAAAAGAGAAATCAGATGCTTTAAAGGCATCAAGAGGTAACTTTAATGGTTCAGTGACACTGTCCTCTGCAGGCAGACAGGATTTGGAGTGGTGGGCAACCAACATCAAGTCTAATGGAGCCCCTATATCTAGACCACCACCTTCCCTTACACTCACCACTGATGCTTCAGGGTTAGGTTGGGGAGCAGTGTTTGACTCTGGAGATCAAAGGACTGGTGGCAGATGGTCAGATGATGAAATTGAGTTTCAAAGCAATATTAACTATCTGGAACTATTGGCAGTGTTAATTGGTATAAAGAGTTTTCTGTCAGTATTGTCAGGTCATCATGTGAGACTGAGAATTGATAATGCAACAGCAGTTGCATACATTAACCACATGGGTGGAACCAAGTCTGTAGTATGCAATGTGGTGGCTAGAGACATATGGATGACAGCAAAGGCAAATAATATGTGGTTATCAGCAGTACATTTGCCTGGTGTTCAAAACTGTGAAGCTGATAAAGAGAGTCGAGTGTTTAATGATGCAACAGAATGGATGCTCAACAAATGTTTGTTTAAGAAAATAACTGAAATGCTATTTATGCCTGATGTAGATCTATTTGCTTCCCGTCTTAATAATCAGGTTGTGAAATACTTTTCGTGGAGACCAGATCCTAATGCTCAGGCTGTTGATGCATTCATGTATGACTGGTCAAATCTCAGATTTTATGCTTTCCCTCCATTCAGCCTGATAGAGCGAGTGTTGCAAAAGATTCGGGAGGACAGAGCAGAGGGCATGTTGATAGTGCCCAGGTGGACCACTCAGAGCTGGTATCCGATGCTGTTGCGGATGATGGTGTCACCACCACACCTCATTCCCCAAGGACGACAGACACTAGTGCTCCCATACAGGCAACAGGAGGTGCATCCACTTCACAAGAAACTGCGTCTGATGGCGTGCCACTTGTCAGGTCATGTCTGGAAAGACAGGGTCTGTCAGATGAAACCATTAACATTATCATGAAATCTTGGCGAGGGAGCACCCAAAAACAATACAAATCTTATCTGTTTAAGTATATGAACTATTGTCAGGGTCTTAACCTAGATCCTACTTTGCCTAATGTGAGTGTTGTGCTTGATTTCCTTCGTCACTTGTATGAAGATGGATGTGGTTATAGTGCAATTAACACAGCCCGAAGTGCCTTGTCATCAGTACTGCACCTCCAATCCGGTTTGCCTGTGGGTCAACATCCACTTGTGAGAAGGTTCTTGAAGGGTATATTCAATTTACGACCTTCACTGCCTAAGTATCAGATGACATGGAATGTGAAAATAGTGTTGGACCACTTAGAATCCCTAGGGAGAAATGTAGATCTATCTCTTAGAATGTTAACCTTAAAATTAAATATGTTGTTAGCTTTAGTTAGTGGTCAGAGAGTGCAATCCCTGCAGTCACTATGCTTAGATCATATTAATAGAGTAGATGACAAGGTAATTTTTTCTGTAGCTAGTTTAGTCAAACAGTCAAGACCAGGGGTGCATGTACAGCCTATAGAACTTGAGACTTTTGACAATGAGAAGCTGTGTGTTGTTCAATGCCTAGATGCATATTTACAGAGGACGGAACATTTGAGGAAGGACCAGCAACTTTTTGTTAGTTTTAATGAACCCTATAAAGCGGTGACAAGAGAGACTATTTCCAGATGGCTCAAAATAGTGTTACGGAATGCTGGCATTGACATTACTAAGTATTCAGGGCATAGTACCAGAGCTGCATCTACAAGTGCAGCACTTAGCCAGGGGGTACAGATTCAGTGCATCATGTCAGCTGCAGGCTGGGCGTCTGCAGATGTGTTTGCTCGGTTTTATCATAGACCTGTAGAGCAGGTTCAGACCTTTGGTCAAGCAGTACTTTCTCTGTCGAAGACTAGCAAGACAGATTAACACCTGTGACTTGTTTGAGAATGTCCAACCGGTTTAGCTAGAAGTGAAATATTGGATATTAAAGAGTTGTGGATATTCACTTCTTGTTGTTTGCTCTTTGGAAATGCTTTGAAGTCTCACGGGGACTCACGTGACCTGATGCCGAAGGAGAATTGAATAATTAAACGAGACTTACCTGTAAGGTGAAGTTTGATTGAGATTCTCCGAGGCATCAGGGAACAGTGAGGTCACGTGCCTCACCCCCCCTCCCAGCTTATTCAGCTAGGTTTTAACGTCATTTCCTCGAGCAAACGCTTTAAAGACTGACCCAATTCCTCACGCGCAATCTCACGTGACCTCACTGTTCCCTGATGCCTCGGAGAATCTCAATCAAACTTCACCTTACAGGTAAGTCTCGTTTAATTATTCAATTCCCTGGCAACATGAAATACATCTAGACTGATTTTCGCCTTTCAATAATTATCCAAGTATATCTGGTGTGGACAATACGACATCAACATTATATAACGCATTCTCTTCGGATCTGGACTGACAATCCACAACAGTGGAACCAATGCTTGGTTTACTTTCGTTAAAACTGGGTAGGACTTCATTTGATGTTACTTTGATCTGGCGATCCCTGTATGGTATCCGACCCGATGTCAAAATTTGCTGAGAGAATTGCCTTTCAATAGCAATGAATATTTTTTTCCACGACATGTAATATTAAAACCATTCACAAACAACAATACGTCAGTTACTACTTGTTATAGACTATTGATTTTACATTAACACAGATATCACTGCCATTTATAAGATCTTCAGAGTGTGTACCTTTACCTCTGTTTTTGTATCACGTCCCACAATTTTATCAACGGTGAGCGTGACTTCATCTTCAGTACAAAGAACTTACAAGTCAGTCACAGATATGGTACAGGTGGGTCGAGCCTTGGTTATATTTGTTGTTTTGAAACTATGAACAGGAGAAAGCAAATCACTGCATTGTTTCTACAATTGCCTGTTTGCAGCCATCGTTAACGTTTAACCTTGGTTGACGAATGTAGGGGCAAACAGAGCATTACTAACCATATGCACCCTGAACATCAGATTGCTGAATTGCCAAACATGGATTAGGAACAACCTGGAAGTTGCAGTTAAGAATAATACGACTATGGTGATCCATTGCTTCACCAACAGTGGTCACTTAGAGGTGATAGTGAATGGTACAAATTGCGCGGGCAAATATCAACTGCCTATCTACAGACAGGTCTCCTAACTGAAATTTGATGGCTTATATTTTTATGATGATAAAAATTTCCTAATGTTAACTTTTCTTTCTAAGGTGAGCATCATCCTGTGCTATCTCTGGGCCTGGCATTGATTTCCATGAATTTCCTTTCATATTCCAATACTAGAACCGATTCCGATTGTATCAAGTTTTACCATTGCACAGTTTATGTAATTTGTGCAGGCTGTCACGAGCCATTAACATAACGGGGATATTTCCATGGCACAACTAACCCTTGCCATTTAGCAACATGCAGTGGATTTGGTCCACATGCCTCTACTACTCCGATGTTGCAGTAACTGGCTGTAGTTGTTTGGGGGAAAGTTCCTTGTCATTCCCAAAGTAAACAGGTTGGTATTTGTTCTTACAATGTCTGAATCCTGTTTCGAAGTGGAACCTTATACAGCAGTGACTCATGGTACTTTTAACATGGTTACAATGTCTTGTTTTGAATCACAAAGACAACAACGTGACCAGTCTCTGACGATGGCTGTACACGAGTACAATATCCTGCACATGGAGACAACAACCTGTTTGGTGATAAACTGCTGTAGAATCATCAGAATGACATATTTCTACCTCTGTATGTGAATCACCTATTAGGGTAGTGGTGCCTTTCGATAACAACTTTACTCTGCACCTACAATAATAAGTTTTCGAAAAGAATGATGCTATTGAAGAGAACTAAACTGACAGCCAAAGGAAGCTTCGCCGCTACAAAATTGTCAAACATGAAAAGTACAAATACAAACTAAATCAATGTAGAATACATCATTCAAACACAAAACGTAAAGGTAGAGCCCAAATTGTAGAGAGCTTCCCTACAACCAACAAGGTGAAGGTGGAGTCATAATTGTAGAGAAGTTCCTTAATTTGAAAATAGGGATGGCATATTTACATTGCGAAGAGCTGTGCAAAAATATGTGTCCGCATGATAAGGTCCTTTTCATCGTTTACTACTTGCTGTTGGTGAAACCTTTGATTTATGCCATATCATCGAATAATATTCACAGCTGAAAGCTGTGATCATGAACTCCAAGCAAGTGTTAATATCACTTTAATATCACTACAATTTCGGACCTCTGCTCTACTAGTAAGCTGATGACAAAAACAACATAAATCATGCACCAACCAAAAAACGTTTTTCTATTTGAATACTAGTATATATACTATTAAAAATAGACAAATAGACTTGAGTACATGAATTTTTACATCAGGTTATAAGAAAGAAATGTCTATACTACCTAGTGGATAATTTTAGATAACGGACATGTTGAGCGCGATGTTGACGACGTAGCACGGTCCCGATGTCGGGCTCTCAGTCCAATCTTTCTCAACCTGTTCCGTACAGTTTGACCGGATATCCTCCGAAGCCCAGGTACCCCGGCTGCTGTGCTCTTTCACCCGTGGAGGTACGATCAGGCAAATGTAGTACCCGGATGTACCGATCTTGGGCTGCAGTGGTGACTCGAGGTCTGCCTGTACGGGGACGGTCATTTGTTATACCTGTTTGGTAGTAAGGAGCTGCAAATCGTGATATCGTGCTCAGACTAACATTTAGACGCCTGGCAACAGAAGATTGTTAATCTCCATCGTAGATTCTATCAATGGCGATGTTCCGTGTCGTAGCGTGAAGACATAGTAGTCACTTGACACTGAAACTCCTTCAAAGCGAATGCCGATTTTCTCAAGTTTCTTGATTTTTATAGCCAGAGAGTGCATGCTCTCTGCTGCACAATTTCAACATGAAGGTGATTGCTTTTGCGTTGTGGCGATGCCTTCTTAATCCTTCTAAGAAATCTAATCAAAATGAACATTTTCAGGTAAAGTTGATTTTGTTCTTGTGCAATTGTGTAAAATCATGTTATCAACACTTTTGTTACATATTTTGACGATTGTCTGAACACAATAGGTAATTAATAGATTTTTAAAAATACAAATCGCCTATGCGTTTCCTTTTTGGGATAGTACATATAAATACCGAACAATAAATACAGTCCCAAAGGACTCAGAACATTTTCTTTTAAGTTCAGCCCAGGGCTGAGGTAGTCTAGACGTGCCCAATCATACTAAACCTGATCTCCTGTGTCTGGGAGACCACATGCTACGAAAGTTTTGAAGTGAGACACATTGTTATTTATGGTAAATGAGCGGTGGTTGCTCTGGAGAAGTCTTCTGCCTTGAAGTAGTCTGTCCGAACTCGTACTGACGGTGATTAACAGCAGTTTGAGTACCAGATGGGATATTTGGATCTTCGAGCTGAAAACCTGTGTTTGATTATCAATGACTGTTATAATGATGAAAAGCCACTTGTCATCGCCCTTCAACTTGGTATTGAGGCAGATGTACTCTATATCCCCATTTAACAGGATCAGTCTATACGTACCTTCAAAAGCATCTTGAAATTGAAAGACAAGTGAAATTGATTTGTAAAAAATAATATAGAATCATCAGTGTTGGTTAATAAATTATGTAAGGGAGCGTAGGATGACTACTATTACTTGAGTGACGCGTGCCACAAATCTTTACGTATTTCAAACGTAGTATCTTTGTAATTTTATATTATGGCTAAATTTAACTACAATCACTAACGGCTGAAGGGATGATGTAAATCAGGCTAGGGTCGATGCAGGTAGCAAATGTACCATGGGGACCCTAGTATGGTGATCTAGCTTCAGTTGCTGGTGATCTATAGCCCGTTTTTTATATCATATTGTCCTGCATTATCATATAAAATTTAAATTACATGCTATTTTTATATCTCTATCTGTGATAGCCTAGTTGTTTTACTGTCCTTTGCTGATAGGTTTTCATATTTTACCTTTAATTATTAGTCATCTATGACTTGATTTAGTCACGATATGGCTGAAATACTGTCAATGTGACTTAAAATCTTAACTCAATCACTCACTCACAAATCTTTAGGACATGTCAACCGTACAAGTGTCTTGTTTGAAGAACACATCATCCGCTCTGTTGTTTGCCGAATGTCTTAGGGCAGTAACACTGTAATGCGAATTACGACTGGTGGACAAAAACACAATATTTGAAACAAAATCCCTCATACTCACTCTGTGGTAGTATTTATTGCAGAAAAATGTATTGCATACAGCTGTTGTAATAATCATTCGAAGTATATCTGCAATGCTATACTAAAGACGGAAAAAATGAAATCAATGATAGAAACAAATTAACAGTTGATCAGTAAGTTGAAATGACAAAAAGACGTCATTGGAATTGTAAAAAAATGTGTAGATCCTTGATTGGCGCAGCAGCAGTAAAATGAGCTGGAATGGCAGTTATAAACAGATACATTTTCTTGGCTAGTGGCAGATATTCGATATTTAGTATTAAGGCTAATCATCATGGATGATATTATGTCATAAAACGATAACATTGTTCAGTAACATAACTAGTTGTTGTCGTCAGTTAAATATAAATAAATATGGACAACAAACATGCCCTGAAAGAAGATTGCCTTGAAGGCACCAAATCCTGGAGAAAGTAATTGGAGAATCTCTTTCCCCTCCCCCGGCTTCAAAAACGCACACACTGACACGCATATAGACAGACACCTATATACACACACGCACCTAGGATATCACAATTTTGAAGCTTTGAACCGTTCTCCGTTTGAAATTTGAATTGTGCGACAGATACAACATCTTATGTATGATTTTACCTCTTACACAATCAGAATGACTCATTGTATTGAAAACAACACGAATACATAAGTCTGAACTAGGGCCCTGAACTTGTGTGTACATTCGAATGCATTTAGAAAAGGCCCTAAAATGTGACCTATGAAAAGACCTATTAAAATCCCTTGGAAGCTTTTCAATATTAGCATAAAATAACTGAAATATTAATGAAATAGCATTGAAATAACAATGTATCATGAACTTGTGTATACATACGAATGTGCATTTAGAAAAGTTCCTAAAATGCGACCTATGGAAAGACCTATTAAAATCACTTGGAAGCTTTTCAATATTAGCATTGATAAAGCATCACCAAAATCAAAATCAAAATTCAGTTAAAAAAATACAAACCCTGGTCCGAACCCAAATAAACCCTTTGGTATTACCAAGGTCCTCAAGTCAGAACTAAAAGCCCTCCAGTTTAAAACGTCAACTGATTCAGGCACTACATCAGAAATGGCAGAGGATCCAAACGTTGGAAAGCGACGCCGGATCAGCAACATGAGTAAAAACACTTTGAAAATGTGAACAAGGAGATGGATGGATACTCCAGATACTGTCTGCAGATCTACACCGAGTCGATGGTGATTGTTTAATATGATCGTTTTTCACTGCATAATATGTGGTCTTTGTGATGTATTAACGACGCACGGAGTCCCAATATCGATGCCAAACGTCGTTACACTGTTTGACGAGACCAACATTCTGTTCTTGATTGCATCGTCCTTTAAACCTCTTCATCCAAAAGTCCATTATCTTCATCTTTCTTCAATGGAATACTTTTATAACCAACCATGACGTCGCTGTTGCATGGTTTCTTTGATGTGTTCGCCGTGGTGTCTTCCAGTGGCACCCCCATTGTCTCCTTCATGACCAGCGACAACAACGTGCACAGAAACATGCTGATGCCCACGATGAGGAATGGTGGCATCAAGTCATCCCCTCCCTACAAATAATCATCCATTGCGTTTTGTTCAGTGAATTAGTAGGAGTATAACTGCTCTTGAACAGCATACCAGTAATCTCAAGACGTGAAATATCACTGATGGGGGACAAACAGTCTGTACGTTTTCACAATATTTGCAACATCTACAAGCATCGGTTTGGACCAAGGGTCATGATTCTTCAGTCAGGATTCGAACCCACGACAGGGGATCCTGTGAAAACTAAAAGGCGCATGCTTGACATACACAACTGACATTGAGTTTGACGTTGTTCCTACCCTTTACCATTATTAATTTGTTCATGTCCACATGTCAACTGTATGCAGGAAATCAAACTTGGTTGGAGGCGTTACAAACAACGAGAAAACTATAAAGACGACTGACTTTACATGACTAGTCTCCTACGTAATACAGTTTAAAGTTTGTGCGAAAACAAACGGGTACGACACATACAATGGCACAAAGGGGCATAAACTATACTGTCTTGTAATAGCCAATATGATGCATTCAAACACACGATCATTCAATGTAAGATTACTCACCATAGTAAATATATAAGGAGACACGATACTCCCTACTCGGGCAGCCGTGTTAGCAGCACCATAACCCAGGTTCCTAAATCAGGGTTGAGAAATACAATCAAACAATCCAAACAACCAAAACATAATTCCTTTATATCTGGAACACAACTGTAATGACTTCAACGTGCTATCGCCCGTGCAACAATTCACCTGAGAGTAAACTGTAAACAGTAGCAGGACTTCTGCCTAATAACTGAAGGGGGTAACTTTCAACGTGTTATCGCCACCTTTCCACCTAATGCCAGTAATGCCACCGTTTACCCGATAGCAAAAGTTGAAACCCTTTCCACCTAATGCCAGTAATGCCACCGTTTACCCGATAGCAAACAGTACAAACCCTTTCCACCTGATAACAGTAATGCCACCCTTTACCCGATAGCAAACAGTACAAACCCTTTCCACCTGATAACAGTAATGCCACCCTTTACCCGATAACAAACAGTACAAACCCTTTCCACCTGATAACAGTAATGCCACCCTTTACCCGATAGCAAACAGTAGAAACTCTTTCCACCTAATGCCAGTAATGCCACCCTTTACCCGATAACAAACAGTACAAACCCTTTCCACCTGATGACAGTAATGCCACCCTTTACCCGATAGCAAACAGTACAAACCCTTTCCACCTGATGACAGTAATGCCACCCTTTACCCGATAGCAAACAGTAGAAACCCTTTCCACCTGATGACAGTAATGCCACCCTTTACCCGATATACCCGATAACAAACAGTAGAAACCCTTTCCATCCTGATAACAGTAATGCCACCCTTTACCCGATAGCAAACAGTAGAAACCCTTTCCACCTGATAACAGTAATGCCACCCTTTACCCGATAGCAAACAGTACAAACCCTTTCCACCTGATAACAGTATTGCCACCCTTTACCCGATAGCAAACAGTACAAACCCTTTCCACCTGATAACAGTAATGCCACCCTTTACCCGATAGCAAACAGTAGAAACCCATTCCACCTGATAACAGTAATGCCACCCTTTACCCGATAGCAAACAGTAGAAACTCCACCTGTCCACCCTGAAACATGTAATACCACCCTTTACCCGATAACAAACAGTAGAAACCCTTTCCACCTGATAACAGTAATGCCACCCTTTACCCGATAACAAACAGTAGAAACCCTTTCCACCTGATGCCAGTAATGCCACCCTTTACCCGATAACAAACAGTAACAACCTCATTCCACCTGATAACAGTAATGCCACCCTTTACCCGATAGCAAACAGTAGAAACCCTTTCCACCTGATAACAGTAATGCCACCCTTACCCGATAACAAACAGTACAAACTTATTCCACCTGATAACAGTAATGCCACCCTTACCCGATAACAAACAGTAGAAACCCTTTCCACCTGATGACTGTAATGCCACCCTTTACCCGATAACAAACAGTAGAAACCCTTTCCACCTGATAACAGTAATGCCACCCTTTACCCAATAACAAACAGTAGAAACCCTTTCCACCTGATGCCTGTAATGCCACCCTTACCCGATAACAAAAAGTATAATCTCATTCCACCTGATAACAGTAATGCCACCCTTTACCCGATAGCAAACAGTAGAGACCCTTTCCACCTGATAACAGTAATGCCACCCTTTACCCGATAACAAACAGTACAAACTTATTCCACCTGATAACAGTATTGCCACCCTTTACCCGATTCAAACAGTAGAAACCCTTTCCACCTGATGCCAGTAATGCCACCCTTTACCCGATAACAAACAGTAGAAACCCTTTCCACCTGATAACAGTAATGCCACCCTTTACCCGATAACAAACAGTAGAAACTCTGTCCACCTGATAACAGTAATGCCACCCTTTACCCGATAACAAACAGTAGAAACTCTGTCAGCCTGATAACAGTAATGCCACCCTTTACCCGATAACAAACAGTACAAACCCTTTCCACCTGATAACAGTAATGCAACCCTTTACCCGATAACAAACAGTACAAACTCTTTCCACCTGATAACAGTAATGCCACCCTTTACCCGATAGCAAACAGTAGAAACCCTTTCCACCTGATCACAGTAATGCCACCCTTTACCCGATAACAGTAATGCCACCCAGTAATGCCACCCCTATAAGCAAACAGTAGAAACCCTTTCCACCTGATCACAGTAATGCCACCCTTTACCCGATAACAAACAGTAGAAACTCTGTCCACCTGATAACAGTAATGCCACCATATACCCGTTAACAAACAGTAGAAACCCTTTCCACCTGATGCCATTAATGCCACCCTTTACCCGATCACAAGCAGTAGAAACCCTTACCACCTGATGCCAGCAATGCCACCCTTTACCCGATAACATACATTAGAAAACTTTTTCCACTCGATGACAGAAATGTCACTCTGTACCCGATAACAGTAGGGGAACATTCATAATTATGGGATGACTTCTAACTGTCAGATGATTTGCCACCTGATAAAAAAACCTGACCAGTTCATGATAACATGCAGCCGATAACAGAAGATTGACTTTCTACATGACAGCACAGCATCAGCATTCTACTTGACAGAACGATTTTCTGAACTTCCCACAGTAACCTGTGAATGTCTTTCTGAGAACATTTTGTTGGCTTCTTACCTAATGACCGTAGGGTATGTTTCACTGGCGAAGACAAGATGGCAGGCCCACGCCGCCGCTACCCCGAGTCTACAGACCAGTGCGAGGACGGTGGTAACAGATTCACCTACAGCTGCATCTGAAGATTGTGATAGATTTACATTTCAGGATCATTGCAACACAGCTGGTACATAACTGAAGTAAAAAGGTGAACAGTGTTTAATGAAGTTCGGTGCATTCACAAGCATTATGTACTGATGGCAAATGTTTGTTGGATAGTTTCTGAAATCCCCACATTCAGCAACATTCCCCAAAGACTCGTGATTATGTACATATGCTTGTTCATCAAAGAGATTATTTTCAAACTCACAAACCATACTCTGTAATCTGTATGAATTTTACATTTCACAAAATCCCAAAGCCAAAATGTTAAGAGTGTGTTTCAAGCGGTGAATGTTTAGTTATTTTGTTTACAGATTGGTGGTGATGTACAACGTTTGAAGGGGTTTTGTTATGACGAGTACGTTTGAAAATTGATAAATCCATCAAGCTACAAGTATGGTGATATTTATTGTACCTGAACATTTTATCAATACATTTAAAGTGTCATATATAAATACACTATGTTTATATGAACAGATTCAAAACTAATTTGAAGCATCTTTACGACCTTAACAAATCCTGAATTTACTTGATCTTCCTTGAACACACGATGAGTAATGGATGTCTAAATATTAACAACCTATTGTATAACTCTGAACTGATGATAAACCTTTTACCAAACACCTGGTGTCAGTTGTCCAAACAGTGTTAGTTTGGTATTTTGTAGCATTGTATTGTTTGTTGTCTTTCGCCTTGTTGCACATACCAACACTGGTCACGAAGACCACAGCGAAAGCCGCACATGACGCCAATGCAAAGAATATGAACGCCGTCCACCGTCTCCCAATTCTGGAAGGTAAAATATATATCACTAGCACGAAATAAAAAGTGGGTAATGTAGAATATTTCAATTGTAGCATGGAATCTTTGTAGCTCAATGTACTGAAGCGTTTTTCTCAATTGAACACGTCTACGTTCAGTTATATGAAACAACCAAGCTGTTTTCAAACATCGCTGTTAATTGACATTAACAATCGTCGTAGTAACAACTTTAAAAAGTCTACATACATACGCATGCACGCGCACTTACACACACAGGCAGACACACTGACACACGCTCGTCGACATGGTTGATACGCGTCATCGGATCCCAGTTGCGTTGATTGGTGCTCATGACGTCAATCACTGGTTCAGTGTCAATTATTTACAGACCACTGCGCGGCGTTAAACAACAAGCACACTGAACTACGGTCAACGTGTCCACATATCGAGCACTGGAGTGAGTGAGTTGGGTATTACGCCGCTTTTAGCAATATTCCAGCAATATCACGGCGGGGAACACCAGGGTTTCCCTCATTGTAACCATGTGGGGAATCGAACCCGGCCCTTCGACGTGACGAGCCAACGCTTTAACCACTAGGCTACCCCACTGCCCCTATCGAGCATTGGAAGCAACGAAGTAGCCTCGTGGCCACAGATTTGACTCTGGGTTGATTTCCGTAATGCGATATTTCCCTACGAGACCTGTATTGTCCAAATTGATTGCTATCAATGTAATGATTACAATTAACGTGTTACATGATGATACTTACTTGTTGCTGAGGAAGAAAACGACTAGCTTCCCAGGAATGTCAATGATAGCCACTAGGAACATGTTGAGATAAAGGTTGCCCGTCAGACGCCCGACGCCGAATGAGATGCCATAATAAACGGAGGATACATTCAGCCTGAATCATAAATACATATACAGTAAGTACCGTGAATCTGTCTGATTCAGTAAACTGTTACCGAAGACTTAACGAATCTCACGCACGAAAATACGTCTGTAATTTTCCTGATAAGACAGCGGACGACTGGAAAGCTGGGTACTGAGTAAAGGGCCCGTGAGTAGGTCACGGCACTTCGCGAGACTTTAGTACTTCCGGTGACAAAAAACGCTTCATACCTTTCCGAATGATCCCATGGTTGTCGGTTGACAGTAAGGAACCGATAATCTTTGCAGGAATAACAAATTTCCGATCTGTGACAGCCATGACAGCCATGTATGTTGGTACAATTGGTCCGGTCTAGTAATGTCATATTTGGCGGTCGCACAATTTAGAACCAGAATTGGCTCTTGAATAAACGCTTGTCACCGGAAGTAGGCTGGCTCGCGCGAAGGGAGCTGGGAGCCAGCTTAGTACCGGAAGTAGCGCCTCGCGAGACTTACAGGCCCTATAGGAGATCCAAGTCTTAAGAGTTGGGGGCATGTGCGCCACAGTTCGCTGCGCAGGGTTGCCGTTCTTTGGGTGTGCCAGAATCCGTTGATTGTGAGCTCGAAACCAGGGGGAGAAATAATGATTTTTCCCTGCAGCACCACACCCGTGGTTTTCACCACAGTGGTAAAAATCAGTAAAAGATTGGCACTGTCCTCTCACATTATGCTGACATGCTTGACTTTAACTAAAACGAAATCTTTATTGTGTACGTAGAAACTAACTGCCTGTTTATAACGGAACAAATGTGTGGCTGAGCTTTTAAAAATTATAGATACTTTGTTTGTTAACGAAGTTAACGAAATCTTGACCAGAGAAATCAATGATCCTCAATGATCTTCATTGATTTGCCTGGTCAAGATTTCGTTATTTGTCTGGACAAGAGTTTACCAGCAGAGACAACTTTCCGATTTACATGTGGGTTTGAAGGGTCATAAAATCATTAAGGAGCATCATTTTCACAATTTGGCGTTATCATTGAAAATGCTGTGTTTTCGCATCTCCAATACTGGGTCAGACAACGTAATAATTGGTTCTGCTGGATGTGCTGATTTCTCTTTCTTGACGCGGTATGTTAGGCAATAATACTAAGTGACTTTATCAGACAAAACTACTGAGGATCAAATTGTTCCAATAGTAGAAGTATGAATATAAGCTGTTCCCGTGGTCTTCGTATGAGTGAGTGAGTGAGTGAGTTAAAATATAACGTCACCTCGCGAATATTTCAGAAATATAGTAACAAGAAAGTTTTGCATACACGATAAATAGTATTAAATATAAGTTGATAAATAATCAGTCATCGAAGGACCGTAAAATAACTACGAGTATCACAGATGGTGTCTAAAACTAGCATGGAAATCTAAAACTGTTTTGATTTACGAAGACAATACAATATGAAAACAGGATAAGTCACCAACAACTGAAGGTAGATCACCATACTAGGGATATAATTGGGTGAGTGAGTGATGTTTAGCGTTACTGTGAACATTATTTCAGTTACGTCACGGCCTATCACTTTCATACGAGTGGAAAACTGTGGCTTAGACGTTTGCCCTCCAGCAAGTGTGTTGCTGACAAAACAAAACACAAATTGAAATCTACTAACATCGGGTTCATAACGAATTACCGCGCCCAAGATGACTAGAACATTCGCATATAGAGCGGACCAAACCGTTTTAAAGGATACGGGTAACTCATCCTATTTAGAGTCACATCGGCAGTGTTGCAGCCATATCGTGACAAGAATAGTTTTGCATACAAACTAGATACATGTTATAAAATCCTGTTATCAAAGGACTGTGAACTGACTAGACGATCACAGATGTTGTTTAAGACTAGTATGTAACCATACTCATATTCATATTTAACAATACAAGATATAAACGGGCTAAAGATCGCCAGCAACTAAACTGAGATAACTACTGAGGACTAACGGAACTTACAGTGCCTTTGCTACCTGCATAGATCCCAGCAGGATTTGCGTCATCCCTACATCAACTGGAGATTATCAGCAAATTCAGCCAAACTCCGAATACCAAAATTTCTACGATTAAATCCCCGGCAGTGAGGTGACGAAATGGATGCCGTATTGACACTTGATGAAAACATGTATGACACAAACTTGCTTAATGAAATATCAGATTTTATGTTGAGTTCATATTTCAACATCAAATACTCTATGGTGAATAAACTCGGAACAAACGTGACATACGACGTCATCGAATCACCTACGCTTCGTCAAAGTTAATGTAGGAAATTATATGCACAGCTCACCAAACGATTTGTATGATAAATGATTTCCAGCATAAACTCCATGGTCTGTAGAGATCAAGGTAGGTATATTTTCGGTTGGACTCTCTCCCTCGAAGTTCCTCCTCAGCAACCTGTTTGAGGATGGCTGCGGTGTTTACTGGTTTCTTCGTGCCGTTGTACCTGGCCATCTGGTCCACCACCTTCTCAGCCTCCTCAAGATGGCCATGTGCCGCCAGCCACCGCATGCTCTCTGGGACCACGCTGTAGGGATAATGAATGACGAGTGAGTGAGTGAGTGAGTTTAGTTTTACGCCGCCTTTTTCAACAATCCAGCAATATCACGGCGGGGGGACACCGGAAATGTTCTTCACACATTTTACCAATGTGGAGAATCGAACCCGGGTCTTCGGCGTGACGAGCGAACGCTTTAACCAGTTGGCTACCCCACCGCACCGAATGACGACTGGGACTAGTTCAAGGAAGCTTTGAACAAAATGTCAGAATATTACGGTGCGATCACCAGCTATCGAGTGAGTGAGTGAGGTAAGTTTTCTTAACTTAAGTCGCTTCTAGCAATATTACAGCAATATCACACCAAAAATAGGCTTTACACTTTGTACCCATTTGGGGAATCGAACCCGGATCTTCGGCGTGACGACCAACCGTTTAACCACCAGCTATAGACGCACTCAAATACCTTCTTCTATTCTGGGGAGCAGACAGGTGGATCTTAGCGATTTTGGAGATATCCAGTTTAGTTTGTTTTAACATTTAACATACAAATCAACTGAAATTCGTCGTAGCCAATTTGATGTTATTAATGAACTATGGTTAATGATCTCGCTATTTTTAATTTCCTCTAGGCTAATCATGAGTCGTGAGTCACGAGGCATGCAGGTTTGAGGCGGTGAACACTTTCATGAACACCTGTATATGGTGCCCATAGACCTAAACACAATCAGATCAAACCGGTGTTCGAACCGACGATGATAGATACCTGGAATAAATGAGAGACGCGTCTGGGTATTGACGTGTACAACTGGGACACTTTGAACATTGTTTCATAGCATGGTAAATTGTAGTATACTCTTTCTGTTAAAGTTAGCAGTGTGCTATATATAGACTTTGAGTCGACTTTAATCCGGAGGTTTCCAGAACGGTATGGAACCATCCAGAAAAGAATGGACATTCTTGGAACTTCAACATATTTCAGACTTCAGGTTTGTTAGTACCGTAGATTCTTTCAAAAGTTTGCACATGTTGTTGACCCTCACCAACTTCCAAGGCAAAGGGGTGAAACTTGTTTCTGACAGTAATTGCCAGACTGTTTGTAAAGCCATTGTCATGAATTCTCCTGTTCTACCATTGTCATGAATTCTCCTGTTCTTTTGCTGTTTGTTGATTTGACATTATCTTATCTAGTAACACATTCATTACTTGATAACCTTTTTTCATTTTTTGAACAGTGTATAGTAAAGTAACAGACCAACATTTGTATCAGGAGCGATAGATACTTACAACCACCCAAACAGGAAGGGCACGTGGATCATAGCCGTTATGATATGTAGATAGGACCAGTTAGGGCACAGCCAGCATGTCATAGCGAACAAGGCTGACCCCACCGGCCAGAAAGGCATTGTCCCTGTCATTGGCCGCCAGTATTTGCCGATGAACTCCATGTAGTAGCTGAAGCTGACGACTAGTAGGGATCCGACCATGGCTCCGATGAAGAATCTGAAATCATCAAAATGTACGGAGGAAATGGTTTGTCATTCTTTCATTAAAGTAATGTTACAGGGGTACAGATTATCAGCCTTCAAATGTAAGCCCTTTTAGGGTCTTTTTAAGGCCCAATCAACAATTTTAAAGAGCTATAGAAACACATAGGACACACGAGTAGTTGATTACACACAAGGTTGGTCAAATGGGGGACTGACTGTCAGAGGGAAATAACTCTAGGTTACATCGCTGCACTGGGAAATTGTTCCATCGCGAAGGAGATTAATTAACACCCACTGTCATTGGAAGATATCTTTATCATGCATTGGTTTCCTGTAAAATCATATATTGACAAGTTTTGCTAAATATATGGCCTCTCTAGGGCTAAAACCAAATTACTGCCTTTTGGGGGTAAAATGTCCTTGGGAACATGTGGGGTAACTAGTAAAGTAATGCCAATTATAATGTCAATGTTACTTACATTGTAGTTCATTCAGTAAGGCAATGTTGATTACAGTGTCGTTCATTCAGTAAGGCAATGTTGATTACAGTGTCGTTCATTCAGTAAGGCAATGTTGATTACAGTGTCGTTCATTCAGTAAGGCAATGTTGATTACAGTGTCGTTCATTCAGTAAGGCAAATTACAGTGTCGTTCATCCAGTAAGGCAATGTTGATTACAGTGTCGTTCATTCAGTAAGGCAATGTTGATTACAGTGTCGTTCATTCAGTAAGGCAATGTTGATTACAGTGTCGTTCATTTCAGTACCTAAAGGCAATGTTGATTACAGTGTCGTTCATTCAGTAAGGCAATGTTGATTACAGTGTCGTTCATTCAGTAAGGCAATGTTGATTACAGTGTCGTTCATTCAGTAAGGCAATGTTGATTACAGTGTCGTTCATTCAGTAAGGCAATGTTGATTACAGTGTCGTTCATTCAGTAAGGCAATGTTGATTACAGTGTCGTTTATTCAGTAAGGCAATGTTGACACATTTCAAGCCAATAGATTTCCCTACAAAATGAGAAATACAGCACAAAAATTGAAGCTGTAATGTGAGAGCTAGGGTCTTCGGAAGCTCGAAATATCGTGATTTCTCGATTCCGAGCCAAAATCCCTGCTCAGAATTTGTAGCGGTAACTCACCCATTTTCTTGTTTATTTCACAGTATACACATACGACATGCATCAAAACATGTTGAACTGATGGCGCCTGTCAGCGCGCTGGTCGCCATTCTTTCGGAGACACTTACATCTCACTATCATGATGAGTTTACGTACATTTATTCATCGCAAACAGAATTGTGTCGTGCCCGTTCGCCATTGACGACCTTGGCCTTAACCTACCCCGCACTGAAAAGGGTCAGCGATTTGATAGGACATATTTTATTTTTAGCCAATGAGCTCCCTTGCTCTTTTAAGTGCGGGGCAGGTTAAGGCCAAGGTCGTCAATGGCCAGCGCGCTGACAGGCGGAATCAGTTCAACATGTTTTGGTGCATGTCGTATGTGTATACTGTGAAATAAACAAGAAAATGGGTGAGTTACCGCTACAAATTCTGAGCAGGGATTTTGGCTCGGAATCGAGAAATCACGATTTTTCGAGCTTCCGAGGACCCTAGCTCCCAAAGTACTGCTTCGATTTTTTGTGCTGTATGTCTCATTTTGTAGGGAAATCTATTGGCTTGAAATGTGTGCAATATGCAATGGGATAAATGCAGTGATTATTGTTGAATTCGCCCTGAAACGGACTTGGTGTGTTGACCTCGTTACATCCCTTTCCTTTTATATAGTACTAAGACCCCGTCAGTGACCGTATATACCTTGAGGGCAGATTTTAGCGTTACAAGCCCCTGTGATTCAATGAAACTTCACTTTTATTGTCATTAGTACATTAAGGCCATATTACGTGTTGGGTTCTTCATACTGTAAAGTAATTTTGTTATGTTATTCATTCTATAAGAGGGACGATGGGGTAGTATAGTGGTTAAAGCGTTCGTCGTCACGCCGAAGACCCGGGCTCGATGGGTAAAGCCTACTTCTGGTGTCCCCCGACGTGATATTGCCGGAATATTGCGAAAATCACTCTCTCACTCACTAACTCACTCACGCATTCTATAAGATATTGTAAATCATAATGCCAGTCTTATGGAATGCTATTGCTACAACACATTTGGTGGTTTTGCAAGATTTAAGACGGTTGAGAATCTGGTAGGTCAAAATAAAATGCAAAATTACATGCATTTCACAACACGAGCATTATGGAACCGAAACAGTTTCCTTTTCGTCCCCGTTTTGATGAGGTCGTTGATTTCACAATTATAAACAAGGTTATCCTTCATTACATACATTTCTCTACTGAATATTGATGAAAGTATATAGATTGAACTTTGCATATTTAATTTCAGGACAGAGACCTTAAAACTGTGAACATCTGCCACGACACGGAGAAGGCTGCCGCCAAGTTGAAGAAGACGTTGAGAAGGAGAGAGAGGTAGTATGTCTTCTTCCTCCCGATGGCATCCCCTGATTGTCCTCCGAGAGCAGCCCCCAACACCACACCTCCCATCTGTACAGCAGTGATAAACGGCTTCACGTCACTTTGCTCGCAAACTAGGTTCCACTGGAACAGATATTTATATGTTAGTTTATTATGGGTTAGTTATCACTGAACACAAATTAGGGTAATGTGTCTGAGTGCGTTTGGCTTACTCCGCTGTGAGCAGTGGTTCAGGTGAGTCCATTCATTTCTTTATTTCAGCACAGATGTGGTCGTACCGTGTCGACCCGTGAAGATCCGGGACAGAATTGATCTTCAGTAACCCATGTTTGTCGTAAGAGGCGACCAACGGGATCGGGTGGTCAGGCTCGACAGCTGGCTTGGTTGACACATGTCATCGGTTCGCAATTGCGTAGATCGATGCTCATGCTGTTGATCACTGGATTGTCTGGTCCAGACTCGATTATTTACAGACCGCCGCCACATAGCTGGTATATTGCTGAGTGCGGCGTAAAACTTAACTCACTCACTCACTCGTACCGTGTCAATCTAATAGCGGGAATGTCCGAAGTGATAAAGAGGCAAGAGGTTTACAGGTTGTAAAATTCACCAATAGGAGTAAAGTGTTAACAAACCAATTTTGGATTTGAACCCATGACAGTTACTGGTTTCTGGGCGAGAACGTATTGGACATTTGACGACTGAGCTTATCACGACCTTAAATTAGTTGTTCAGTGAATCTCTGTGATGTGCACCCGCTGAAATACTGGTGTGTTTGTTTGTTGTTTTAACGGTGCTCTCAACAACACAACAGCTATATGACAGCGGTCTGTAAATACTAGACCAGACAATCCAGGGATTGATGTCATGAACATCGATATAGGCAACTGAGATACGATGGCATGTGTCAACCAAGTCAGCGAGTCTGACCACCTGAAACAGGTTCATCGACGGATTTGTTACAGGCATTCGTGAGTGAACACCACACTCAACAATATACCAGCCACTTTACGGAGGTGTGCTTATTATCAGGCATCGACCATATAATCCAGTGATAGAAAGAAGGAACAAATATAATTGACAGATTTATACCAGGTGCAACATACGGTAATGTTCCTGTTTACGTGTACATATTCCGTGGGGTTGCTGTAAGGTGTAACATCAATCTGAAACGTCGTGTTGCAAAGTCATCGGTAACAACGCAGATCTGTATATTCCAGTACGAGGGGCGTTCAAAACTTAGTCAGCCTATGTTCTCGATGTCCAATGTTTTATTTTGAAGGAATCTCTAGCAAAGCCATATGCAAAATTTCACATATGTGGGTAATGTGGTTAACGAAATATTAGTCATCACAACACATTGGGGTATAATATTTCTTTAAATTATTAAATTGCAGAAAATGAAAAATGATATGTCATTTTGATATACATCTTGGATAATGGTATACCCTCAGATACCATGATAAAAGGCAAACAAAATGGGCATCATGAGGCTGGAACATAGCAAAACCAATTTGCTTGAGGATGACAGATAATATGTGGAGAAATAAAACATAAAAACAGCTGCATTTGTATCATTTTCTAGGTGAGGCCGACCATTTTTTAACCAACCCTCGTATTGTAAGTGAGTGAGTGAGTGAGTTTAGTTTTACGCCGTACTCAGCAATATTCCAGCTGTATGGCGGTGGTCTGTAAATAATCAAGTCTGGACCAGACAATCCAGTGATCAACAGCATGAGCATCGATCTGCGCAATTAGGAACCGATGACATGTGTCAACCAAGTCAGCGAGCCTGACCACCCGATCCCGTTAGTCGCCTCTTACGACAAGCATGGGTTACTGAAGATCGATATTCTAGCCCGGACCTTCACGGGTTTCGTATTGTAAGAAAAGTGTGCATGCGATGGCGTAATGCATAAATTTATTTTCTTAACACTTCTCTGTTATGATTTGTCAGTTAATTGTGAATCAATTATCACCTGATTTAAACACCTAATTCGAAAAGTAAGCATGACATTGTATTATTACTATGCATATATTTCTGTATACTTTTTCAAATTTTCAGAGATTATTATTAACAAAGGAAATAGGAATACATGTATTTGCAAGCGGATGTGCAAAGTGTTTCTCGTTTATAGCACGACTTGTCAAGCGCAGGAGCAGTCATTTAGCAAATGCGTTCACGCCAACATTAAATGGATTTATCAAACACGAGGGGCGGTGGGGTAGCCTAGTGGTTAAAACGTTCACTAAACACGCCGAAGATCCGGGTTCGATTCCCCACATGGGTACAATGTGTGTATCGTATTTCTGGTTTCCCTGCCGTGATATCGCTGGAATATTGCTAAAAACAGTGTAAAACTAAACTCACTCACGCTCTTGTTATAAGTTTAGTTGCCAGTGTCTAATTCCGGAAATATAATATCATTTTACCATGTAGTAAGATCTCTTTATTCGGGTCACTCTCTAAATTCGACTTACTGTATTTACCGAAATTATTATCTTGTGAATGCTTTCTAAATAGAAACATATGAATGCGTATAGTTAGTGAAATTAGCATGGCATACAGTATACATTGTACATATATATACTCAGGTATATTTTAACATTAGTTATAAGTCGTTACTGTAGTTAACGCAACAGGTACAACGAACACCATACTTGTTGGTAGGCGCACTTTTCCGTACTTATCCCATGCAATTGTCATGAATATAATAATTTATCAGTACCGTAATGCAGCGTAATGCTAATTATCAGTACCGTTATTACTCAAGTAAATGTCGCGATATTTGTATGTAATTCTGTATGCGTTCTGTTACGATACATATTGCCTATATTACCTGAGACAGTTTGTATTATTATTGTATTTTTGTATGTCAGTATTATGTACGAATTAATGCATTTTGGACTTTGAATGTATGTTAGAGGTGAGGTGAGGTGAAATTGGGTTTTACGTCGTGCTTGAGAATATTTCGCTCATATGACGACGTGGTATGTTAGAGACGTGCTTGACTAAACATGACGAACTCCAAGCTATCTCGTGTCAGGTCGAGGTCTGTCAGTACATTAACTCATGTAGAACCAAAACACCGGCTTTTAAACGACATATAATAATGGAATGTTACGCTGTTTTCAAGCTATTGCGCAATTATCATATATTTTCATATAAATTGTGCACTCATATTACATCTGTTTTCATTTATGAATTCTTACTGAAGTGTGAATCATAATTACAAGGGATTGGTTTATTATTGATTGAACAAGTTGTTCGACGACATTCTACAACCTGCTCAATTTCACATCACCTCACGACCTTGACCTCTAACGGTATCAAAGTTCTATTACGGCGTTAATTTCAGCCAAAATGAACCCCCACCCGCCGATCCATCCCTCCCTGGTAGAGCACGGGCCTGATATGGACCCACCATGGATCCTAATCAGGGTGATTTGCGACAACCGTCAGCACCACAACCGGCAGCGGTAACAGTCACACGTGAAGGTCCCCCAAATAATAATCACACGAGGATACTACCCGAAAATTATCCCATGGGATACAATATACTTTAGTCTGTCTCACAGTCCCTGAACCACATTATTTTCTATAATGCCCAGCCCTGCATTGCTAAAGCCCTAAATGAAGCACGTCTAGATTTCCCCCGGTTCCTGAATCTCCCAACAAACTGGGGCTGCTTTTAAATTTAAATGGGTTTATTTGTTACTGTCAAAATAATTTATATTCAAGGACTAAGTGTTAGTCATTTCAAATGGGTCACGTTCATATATATATATGTATATATATATATATAAATACACACACACACACACACACACATATATATATATATATATATATATATATATGAACGTGTTATATATATATACGTTCATATATATATATATATATATATATATTCGTTCATTTATTTACCTGCACATACATACAATGTACTCACCTCGTTGATCACAGTATCCTTCTCCTGGCTGTACACGAACGTGCACGTGGTGTTGCTGTCCAACGATGGGCACTGCTGTATGTGTGTGTAGTTCATAGCGCCGTTAGGGGCGACACTAGCGTTCTTATCACACCACCAAAAGTCTGGGGGGACGCCGGTAAACGACATCATCAACATGCCCCATGGGTGAATGACTTTGCTGCCAATGATGAGGAAGAGGAGGAGGAGCTGGAATCTGGACATGCTCCCAACATCTTCTATGATGTCATCTGTATGCATCGTTAAGCCCTTGCCTGCACCCAAGAATAGTTATGGATTCAAAAATACCAAAAACAACATACTTCTGTAAGTACTGTTTCACATCCATTTCAGAAGTGTAACTTACAAATCTATTCCCTCTTTCTCAGACAGCCGTGAATATACTGTAATGGCTGCAATGCAGTTGCTGAAGCGGCTTAAATCACTCACTCACTCACTCGCTCTTTCTCAGGAGATTAGAGAAAGAAAACGTTTGGGGACGGGTTTGGGGCGGTGTTGAGGAGGGAGGGGCAGTCGTCTGTAAGTTTGTAAGTGGCGTAAACCACTAACCTTTGTCCACGGGTTCGAGTCCCAGAGTACATTCATGAAAAGGCGTTACCAAGTTTGATGATTAGATGATCTTACAACTTTAAATACGTACATCGCCTACAGATGGCTTTCATCTAATCTGCACAGACTCCGTGGTGTAAGTGGTTAGAGCGTCCGCCCGGAGAGCGGGAGGTCGAGGGTTCGATCCCCGGCAGTGTCATACCAAAAGACGTTAAAATATGGTACTTGTTGTTCCCTGCCTGACGCTCGGCATTAATGGGTAAAATAAGGACTGGTCGTCTTGGAGTCAGTATAATGTGTCTGAGTGGGGTATTCATGCTTCATGGTATCTCAGTGGGCTAGCACTATAAAACCAGTTTAAGTCTGAGCTAGTACAAGCAGCCGCACATACACTCGCACACTCGGCGTCATATGAGCGAAATATTCTTAAGTGCGACGTTAAACCCCATTTCACCTCACCTACTTTGATCTGTCTCCCAGACACAAGGGCACAAATTACAAAGAAGTCCAACTCAAGTCTAGAATGATATGGTCCAGTTAGCCTCAGCCTCAGTCATACATTAAGCTATCGAGCTACATGTATTCATTGCTCCTTTTGAATTTAGGAGGGGTAGCCTAATGGTTAAAGCGTTGGCTCGTCACGCCGAAGTCCTTTTGAATTGTGTGTATGCTTTGGTAGGTAATTGTTTCAAATATGAAAAATGTATTTACGCGACTAAATGCCCCCTCTTTCATACCATAGTTGACAAGTCACGATGGCATGTCTCGCGGTCCCTGAACAAGAGACTAAGCGTTAGTCTAAAGTCAAGATAAAAGTGACAGTCTGCCCAAAGCGACGGGAACTAAAAACACTCGTTAATATTGGTCTAGGAAACAGGGATAGGAAACCCTTGCTTTGCTATCAAACTGTACTTTCTACTAATTTGTAGCAACGTCTATCAACTGTAGGATAACTATGATAAAAGTACTTTACCTGTCGACAGACCAAGTGGAACAAGTCGTCCTGGCTGCATCTACTGCGGTGTCCGGCAGCTCCTCACACAGCAGTCCCTGTAGAGAGTTTGAGAGTATAATGGTTCATCTGTCTATGCAGAGACCATATTATATATGGCCTCGGGTCTATGTAAACTTAGGCTCAGTATTATTCGTTACACTGCTATGCTGAGTCTAACCAGGGATACTCTACAACAGGGATAGGTCACTCGCTTGCTTTCTTTACCATTTGTACTAATTAACGTGTGCCTCGTCATGCTCCAACGCACACAGTGACTTGGTTCGGTCCCAGCGCAACTTCGGCTGCGTTTAACAGTACTTCAGCCAGTGTATTGTATAGGTCGGAATTTTACAATGAATGAATGAATGAATTAAGAGCAATAATTTTATGTGAATGAATGAAAGAAATTAAGAAAAAAGAACAAAAGAAAAAGAACATATCTGAATGAATGAAAGAATAAATGATACACCACGGCCATCCCTCCCCAAACATGTTAAAGAACGCAAAACTATCGGTAGAACACATGTTAACATCAGCTATCCTTTTTATAAAAAATCTACTTTGAGACATTTTTTTTACATTAGTAACTAATTCAGATATCTTATTGCATGTGTGGAATGACATGGGCATTGACAGAATGTTAACTGACACTGTCACAGACCCCTCAAGAACAGAAAGTTTAGAACTATCACAAAGCCTTGCAAACACCTTTCCAGTTTTGTCAAATACTAAGATCAACAAGAAAGAAAGAAGTTTTAGAACTATAACACTCAAGCATCACAAGCACCAATGGTGTATCAGAACAGATCGGCGATATGTCATATTTTTCACACACCTCAAATACACACTAACCAGGGAGACTCTATAAGGGGGAGTGGTCACTCCTCGGAAAGCTCCTAAGCTATGCCTCGGCTCGTCACGTGACCAGTGCAGCCAATATGGCGGCAGCGTAGTTTTTAAGATTGAGCCCGGTTTATTTTCAACAGCTGATTACATACGCTGAGTGTTGTGACAACTGAAAACCTACATGTAGAAGATAAGTTACCTATTCTGTCACTTCATTTTAAGTCAAATACTTGTTATTAGTGTCAGTTAAAGTACAGTAGCTTTGTAGTAAAGTTTCAAGTGGGCATGTTGTAGCTCACTGGCTTCAATTCTCAGTACACAGCGAAGAAAGACTAACTTATATCGCTAAAAACTTCTTTCACATATTCGTTTAATTTTTAGAAGGGAAATATACCTTTTGTTAAAAGGTGTTTGCAAGTAATAGTGATATTTTTATAACTAAAAAAATTTGTTAGGGTGTATTTGAGGTGTGTGAAAAATATGACATATCGCCGATCTGCCATTGAAATACTACAGGGCGTTGTTTGAGTGTTTCTAGTTAGTGTTCAAAACATCTTTCACATACACCTTCAATTTTATGAGGGGAATATACCATCAGGTGAAAGGTGTTTGCAAGTAATAGTAATAGTTTTATAATTTAAAAATTGTTAGTGTGTATTTGAGGTGTGTAAAAAATATGACATATCGCCGATCTGCCATTGAAATACTACAGGGCGTTGTTTGAGTGTTTCTAGTTAGTGTTCAAAAACATCTTTCACATACACCTTCAATTTTTATGAGGGGAATATACCATCAGGTGAAAGGTGTTTGCAAGTAATAGTAATAGTTTTATAATTTAAAAAAAAAAGTTAGTGTGTATTTGAGGTGTGTGAAAAATATGACATATCGCCGATCTGCCATTGAAATACTACAGGGCGTTGTTTGAGTGTTTCTAGTTATTGTTCTAAAACATCTTTCACATACACCTTTAATTTGTATGAGGGGAATATACCATCAGGTGAAAGGTGTTTGCAAGTAATAGTGATAGGTTTTTTTGGTTTTTTTTGTTAGTGTGCATTTGAGGTGTGTGAAAAATATGACATATCGCCGATCTGTTCTGATACACCATTGGTGCTTGTGATGCTTGAGTGTTATAGTTCTAAAACTTCTTTCTTTCTTGTTGATCTTAGTATTTGACAAAACTGGAAAGGTGTTTGCAAGGCTTTGTGATAGTTCTAAACTTTCTGTTCTTGAGGGGTCTGTGACAGTGTCAGTTAACATTCTGTCAATGCCCATGTCATTCCACACATGCAATAAGATATCTGAATTAGTTACTAATGTAAAAAAATGTCTCAAAGTAGATTTTTTATAAAAAGGATAGCTGATGTTAACATGTGTTCTACCGATAGTTTTGCGTTCTTTAACATGTTTGGGGAGGGATGGCCGTGGTGTATCATTTATTCTTTCATTCATTCAGATATGTTCTTTTTCTTTTGTTCTTTTTCTTAATTTCTTTCATTCATTCACATAAAATTATTGCTCTTAATTCATTCATTCATTCATTGTAAAATTCCGACCTATACAATACACTGGCTGAAGTACTGTTAAACGCAGCCGAAGTTGCGCTGGGACCGAACCAAGTCACTGTGTGCGTTGGAGCATGACGAGGCACACGTTAATTAGTACAAATGGTAAAGAAAGCAAGCGAGTGACCTATCCCTGTTGTAGAGTATCCCTGGCTGAACATAGCGTTTTTGTAAACATTCAAGGACGTCTTGTGGAAATATAAGCTAATAGTAACCATGTCATTGGAAACCCCCTGAGCGTATATACTGCAGGTCAGATATCTGTGTTTTATGCGGATTTTCGATTGTTCATAGATCAGTGTCAGCGACCAGGGAAGAGAAAATCCAAATCCGAACCCTAACAAGTAGTCGTTGTCTGATTGGTTAAATCCGTTCGGCCGTCTCGCCTCTGATTGGACGGTCATAGGTCGCTCAAAGGTTAGCTGACGCGACCTCCTACTAGGGTTTGTTAGCCTCAGTATAGCAGAGTAACGAATAATACTGAGCTAAGTTTACTTAGACTGAACGCTTCATACGATGAAAATGGGTGAGTGAGTGAGTTTCACGCCGCATTTAGCACTATTCCAGCAATATCAGGGCGGGGGAAAGGTGAAATGGGTTAACACATTGTGTCCATGTGGGGAATCGAACCCGGGTCTTCGGCATGACGAGCGAACGCTTTATCCACTTGGCTATCCCACCGTCCCACACTGAAAGTACTAAAGTTATGAAACGTGTATTTAAAGACTTTCTACGCAGGGTTCAAAACGATATTATCTAATCCGGCACGCGGTGACCTGTGACAACTAAAATGCGATTAAAAGCCGTTCATCTGTAAAGAAAGGTTGGAAGGCAGTTAATATTCCCACGGTATTATACCTAAAAACACGTTACACTCTGCTATCAAATGATCCACAGGTTCACCTTTTGGCGGACACCTGGTAGCAACACTATTTATCAGTGATTCATAAACATATCCTCGTGATATATAGGCGGAATTATGTAAAGTACTCTGCTTTATAGCTAAAATACATGGAATTATCATGAAACGGCCCTCCTGTTATCAGAAATTTGCGGTCCGCTGCAAATGATATTGGACCGCTCAACCTTAACGACGGGCCACTATCAGTTCTGTTGTCAAGTGACGTCATAGTTCGACATTAGTGGCTTTCGACTGGCAGATATTCTTGGTCAAACAAGTCAAAGCAACCCAAATTCCCGCTTTAAATAGAGATAATATTGGCTTTCTTGTTGGTGCTAACCTTAACAATTGCACTATTAAGACTGTTGGTGGACCAAAACCGAACACTGTCATAGCTTGACATGTTGCAGGCTATGGTCTTGTCAAAGGCCAAGGTCGAATATCGTCACTTTCTGTTGTGACGTCACTTGAATTGTTCGATGACGTAATTGCATTCGGGCAGTCAAGCCCGTCAGAAGTTGATTTGGGTAAACGTACAGTCAAATTCCTTCATTGTTTCCTTTTTCTTTTCAACACAAATTCCATGTATTTTAGCAATAATAACGGTAATGCTATTTTTGAGGGCATTATCATTTGCAGAAGCCCTCGGTCTTTATCAACTGCCCTCCTTCGTCGGGCAGTTAATGGAAGACCGCGGGCTTCTGCAATGATAATGCCCTCAAAAATAGCATTACCCTTATATTAACCAGACGTATTTTATTAAAAAAAAAAGAGTTTTGTCGCTTATATTATCACAATAGATTGTTGTGAGCCATGGCTCAGACCACGTATCTTTAGGCTTAAAGCACTCAACCGCTCTCGCTTGTATCATTTTTAACCGAATATTATTTCAAATGTCCATTGTTGATAAACTACACAATACACTCTAGACACACATCTCCCCGTTGCCGGCGCTTAACTGGAGGTTTACATATTCCGAATTCCCATAACGTCACTTTCTCACCAAATAATATGGAAATTGTGTATATTTAAATCAGAGAACATATAATTGAGTCTATTATATGGTTCCTGTTTAGACAAATGTTGTGCTATATGAAATATGTTCGCTTTATCAGACATATATACATGTACATTCAGAACCACCTTGTATGTGGTCAGGAATTCTACGATCTGTATGACTACTTATCACTTTGTCCGCTTTATGTACGAACTGACTAAAACACAAATATTGTTGTGCAATATAATGACATGACATGACAATCCATGACTGATATTACATGACATGACATGGCAATACATGACCTGATATTACATGACATGACATGACCTGATATTACATGACATGACATGACAATACATGACCTGATATTACATGACATGGCATGACAATACATGACCTGATATCACATGACATGGCATGACAATACATGACTTGATATTACATGACATGACAGGACAATACATGACCTGTTATTACATGACATGACAATACATGACCTGATATTACATGACCTGATATTACATGACATGACATGACCTGATATTACATGACATGACCTGACCTGATATTACATGACATGACAATACATGACCTGATAGTACATGACAAGGCAGGACAATACATGACCTGTTATGTCTAACTTGTTATTTCTTAGTAATTATTGTCTAGTACTGCAGAGTCAGGTTTGAAACATTCCTACGATATTGAAGCACTTTTAGAAATACCTACCATTGTAAATGCTAG